AGCTTCAGAAATCACAGTGGTGTTCGGAGCACACACACAACAGAGCTTTCAAAATAGAACCAACTTAACAATGAGCTTCATCTAATGTAAAACCTGCTAATAATGACTTTAACAGAGCAAATAGAAGATTTAGCCTGTAGTCACTCTTCCAGGTAGGCTCTCTGTGGGGAACAGTCCTCTGCTTAGGATATAAAAAGGGCTTATCGTAGAAATGGTGAGGTTTGGGCGATGTCACAAATAGGGATTCCTCCTACTTTTACACAAATCAGCCCAATGTGCTTTTATTTATATAAGTTTTGTAAGACCCATTAAAGCAGAATGGAAACATTAAATAAACCATTACTTATAGGGGTAGGCACTATATTGAGAATATGGCTTGTTTCAAGCTCAGAATGAGAGCTCAATTCAAAGCATTTCAGGTTGCTTGTGTAGTGATGAAACAACATTCAAAATGTTTCAGTGTTACAGCTACAGAAAACATTGGGAACTTGGACCAAATTCTTTGCTTTCTTGTTTTCCAGTCTATTCAACAATACTGAATTATTATTTCCATAAGATATTCCAGTTTTTGTCTGAGAATTCAAGGAAACGAATTGGGGATGTCTCCTTATTTTCATTCCCAAAAGAATTTTGTAAACTAGGTCAGACTGAGATTATATGCCCCAAAGACATTTGACCATGAACAAGTGAAGTATTGCACTGCACCGCACTAAACTCCATTGCTAATTGCCTTCCAAACTGCAGTAAAATTGATAAAAGATTTTGGAAAGATTTTAGAATATGTAATTGGGGAAATCCGTTGGGGCTCCTCAACAGAGAAATCTTTTTTAAGTTTTAAAAATCCTGAAGCTCCCAGTCAACCCATTTATATAATGAAAACACTACTCAGAAACATTTCTTACAAGGCTCCCTTTTTCTTTTTCAGTCTACCAACTCTGGCATTTTCTGATGCTTTTGAATATATGTAACTGGGGGAGGGAGGGAATTGTTCATGCCAATACATGAATATTAAAATTACAAAAAGATATAAAAGGGAAGAGCCATGCATCTTGGGGCTAGGAAACGATCTTCTGGAATTAAGCCCTCCGCCCTTTAGCAGCCTTTTAAAACCATAGCCTTTCCCAAATGACATGGGAATAATGGAATAATTATTCGCCCAATACGCTGATATATAAACACTTCTAAATAAGCCAAATTACACTAAAGTATAGATTCAGAGTATCGAAGTTTGTAAAGTGGACACATGATCCTCCCGAGGTAAACTGCCAAACTAATTCCAATATAGTAAACCTTCACAAATACTAATTTTTAAGAGGCTTCACAAAAGAGGTTTGACTGCAGATATCCAGGCTCGGTTTCTAATTGCTGCTATTATTTTACACTTCTGTTGGAGGTTTCTCAAGACTGTTGGAGATTATAGTTGAGAGTTTCCTTTGAAAAGTCAGCCCTCAAATTAATATCTGCATGTTCCAAGATTCAGAATGTTTTCTACTCTGGTGATGAAATCAATTATCAGGACAATACAATTCTAAGTAATGTTGAGAATGACATTGTTGTCATTGAGAATGACTGTGGCTGCCCACATCCTTCAAAACCTGTCACTCAAGCCGAACAAAGCAGCAAGTCAATGGTCATGTTTTCTTCTCTAGTTTTTCACTCCTTTATGTCTCATTGGGAAGGAAAATATGGATGTAAACTTGGCGAGGGCCTACTCTAACACTTTTTGAGAGAAAGAAAAGGTCTTAAAATTAGCTGGTCTAAACTCATCTTCCATTTGGGTTTGCAACATTTCACTTGGGGGTCCAGCACCAATGAGATCTCCCTATGTAGACAAACTACTCAACTAGTAGAGTGATTCTTTGCTTCATTCTAGCCCCTTCCAGTCATCAGACCTGGGGGTTAGAATTGTTGCTTTTTTCAATGATTTCACAGAGTAGCCCTTTCTTCATTACTACAATAAAAACAGGGAGATATTAAAACACTGCACATCCTTTAAAAGGTCACAGCAAAATGTCCTCTTAAAGACAACCCTCCCCAATAGTCAATCTCTATTCTTCCACAGTAATTTCTCTCAAGTAAAAGAAACATGTGGAAAGAAGTGGAATCTCCTTTCAAACATACACTGGGCCAGATATCGGTATTGTCTTGTGCTGCAGACTATAAAAGATGCATGGTAGTTAGTCAGTGTCCACTCTGGTACCTTTGCGTGCTTATGGCCACAATCTGGATTATAGAAAACAATCCATAACAATTTTTATAGTCTTGCATGACCCAGGCCATGATAAATGCAACATCTGCCAACAGAATTCCAAATTGCACAAAATATTTATTTGCATTAATCCAGTACATTTAGCCTTCAGGAACTAGATTAAATTAGGGGTAGGAAATGTTCAGTTGTTTTCAACCTTAAAACTTTTCATCCTTAGAATATGCAATATTATATTATAACAAAGTTACCATAAAGGTAGCAGTATTATTTAGAACTAGTTTTGACAAAAACAGAGCTTTAAACACATTTTAGTGGTTTTAACAGCACTACACTCAATTAAGAGAACTCACGTAAAGTGAAAATATTTAGAGTCAGATACATCAGTTAAGAAAATAAAAAGACAGAGCTATGTCATTCAGATATTCCGGAATGGACGCAGTATATGTTTTGTACTCTGGTATATTTTTTTCCTGACATTCTAAAGCAGAAAGTTAAACAAGTTCTCCAATTCTTAGATTCCAATAGCTAAATGGAAATTTCTTGTAAGGCTCTTCCGTTCTTTTGCAACACTGTCTATAAATGTGGACATGTTAAGAAAGAGTGAAATTACTGCTTAGTCAGAAATTTACAGACATCTTCACACACTGAACAGCTTTGGAAGAGAGTCTGATAAGATACAATTTTATAGTCATTAGCTAATACTGCACTGAAACCAGGTTTATTTCTGAGCAGCCTCTCTGTCTAAAACGAAGGCATCAAACTCTAGAAGCCAGATTACAACCAACTGGCAAATGTTGAAGAGGTTTACATACTCCTGGGCTGTGGAAGGGGGGCACACTCCCCCAACATTTTAATAGTTTCATTCTGTTGTTTCACAGGTAAAATCTCCAGAGTAAAATCTGAAAAAGGCAACATGTTTCATTTTAGGTTTTTTTTAAAACACTTACATGAAAAAGAGCAAGTTACAAAAAGCATAAATTCAATCTTAATATAAGACATTCATAGTACAGTGAGACATATACAGTAACTTGACAATGACCATCACAACGAAGATTCAAACATCTTGTCATTTAATAAGCACATCAGACAACCAAACTGCTACCGTTATTATCCCAACTACTATGGTAAGAACCACATATGCTTGCAGTTTTGTGACTTTAAGTCCCAGATGGAGGAGACATCACAAGTCTTTTAAGTTTCCCTTCCATAAAGGCCATTTGGGTGTTATAGTGAACCACTCACTATTAATATTCAAAAATTTTATCAGCAACTCTTTAGTTTTCAGAAATGGCAAAAGTACCCTAGTGAGGTTACACCCAATGGGAGTAATTGGCCCAACTAGTAATCTTGAATACTGTAAGGACGCAGTCCTAATATCACTAGGGAGTAAACCTCATTAATACCATGAGATTTACTTCTGAGTAAACAGGCATAAAGTTGCACTAGGACCTCTGCTTGAGCACCAAATGTCTTACGAATGTAAAAAATTACTGATGCTTCAGTCATTCAAATGTTACAGCTGTTGACTGCTGGTCACAATTTCTAACTAAAATGTTCAGAATGCTTTCACACAGATACCTACAAATTCTTCTAGAAATGGCACTGTATTAGGTAGCATTAGTTGTATTCTGAAATACATTCCACACAGGCAATGCAGTTTACCACAGAGGGTGGAAGCTTTTCAGGCTTTTAGTTTGGCAAAGCCAGTTTTAGAAATCATTATCAATCACGTTTTCTTTTAAATGAAAAAACCTGGTAGATATATTATGTACCAATACATGGAATGTAGCCAGGCTTGTTTTTGGTTTTTGCAAAAAAAAAAAAAAAAAAAAAAAGCCATTTCTTTAATTAATTAAAAAAACATTTTATAAAAGTCACATTGGTTTATCAGGTTTGGGAGGGAAGAGCTAAACCCTATCGGTCCATGATTTGTATTTTATGAAATTATTTGTGAAAAGTGATAGAAGCAATTTTAAAAATGTGGTTTTGCTGTCACATAAACTTCTACAATTCATAAGTTTACATTGTTTAAAGATGAGAAAGTTAAACTTATGACAGACATTAAAAAAGAATTTGTAAACATACCACCACCCATTTTTTCACATCGTTGTAGCTTGTTAATGTGGAATGGATATTTCATAACGCAGCATGTTGGTTTGAACCACAATCCCAACCTGGGCTTAAATGGATTTAAATGCCCCACCTAAAATTCAGTGGTTAGATGTAGCCTCCAGATCTTCACGGTGGATGCCACATGAAAAGGATAGGCTTCTGTGCAAGCCGCCCTGAAATGAACAGGAGTGCCATGTTGTTGCCCAAGTCCTATTTATTTCAGCTGGGGCTCTCCTAGGAGAGTGCTTAGAGAATGAGGTGCTCCAGCACTTGCTATGCAAACTGTAATTCTACAAAAGATTTTTGTCACATAAGTTCACAGTAAAAGTGAAAACAATCGAAGTCAGTGCATTTTCCCCTCTACAACCCCCCTCCCCACATTTCCCAAGAACTTCTTTTCCCCAAGTAATACTGAGTCAAAGGCATATTGTTGTTGCAAATGTCTCTGTCTTCATGTTTCATATCATAGCTGAAGGATGATATCTGCAGGACTTTTGTAAAGATACTTCCAAATAGCATAATAATGAACAGCAGCTGCGGTGGCAACAAACAGATGCCAGATGGCATGGGCAAATGGAATTATTCCATCACTCTTGAAGAAGATCACTCCCATGCAATAAATTACACCTCCCCAGGCAAGTTCTTGAAGTCCGTCTGTGTTGTTCTGTAGAGGAACAGAAAAGGGAACAAGTTTCTTTTTAACCTGGGTCCATGTAAAAGAACAGTCATTAACACTGAAGGAATACAATACAATTTCTGTTCAGGCTATACACTGGCAAGGTAAAGGTAAAAAACTATTAACGGGTAAAAGCCTCTTGTCTTAAAACCAAGAGGCTCTGTAGTACAGCATCCTGGTTTCTACAGGGACCAGCTATGTATTTATTGCTTTAGTGAAGGGAGAAGATTATTGTGACCTAGGCAGGTGTTTACATTCCTCTACAGTAGCTATTGGTGTTGCTATCCAAGTATAATAAGGATAAAAGGAAGAAGAGGAGAAGGAGGGGAAACAGATCCATGTGGAGAGGTAAAACTATTTAGACATGATTCTTTTTTGTGCCTCTGCTTGTGGAAGTGACCTGGACAGTCAGGTGGAGCAGCCACAGACCTTAATACTACTTCCAATGAACACCAGGTTGGTTTCTAATAAAAATGTTAATGTACAGGGCATTAGAAAAAAATCAAGGAGTTAACTAAATGGGGAACAGCAATTTGTATGGGTTCACCTTCTGCCAACCAAGTACTTCATGCAGAAGCAGACCCAGTCCTTTGGGCTAGGGATGAGATGTTGTTATACTCAACAAGGATTTCATCTTCCACTTCCACCACTCTTCTCTCTGGGATTTGGCTACTTTTAAGGATATGTGCTGGTGGCTTCACCATCTAATGTAGGGGTGTCAAACTCATGGCGTTACAGTGGTGTCACATGACATATCAGGACACACACCCCCTTCGCTAAACCAGGTGGAGCGGGGCCAGTACATGACACATCTAGTAATTAAGGCCAAGTGCTCCCATTCCTTATGGAAAGCAATGTCAAGTTTCTTGCTTAAGAAAATATTTTTGAACCCAACCAATTCCTACTGTCCTTCTGTGTATCCAAATTAATGACAAGGCAGTAGCACTGCAACCCCAAACAATTCTTACAAGTAATTATCTACATCCCTTTCATCTGGGTTCAGACACGAACTGGCACAAAAACAGCCCTAGTCCCTCTTGTGGATAATCTGTACTGGAGAGATGCTTGCTTTCTCTCTCTCTCCACAGGCTTTTATGCTATTGACCACTGTTTCCTTTTAGAGCATTGGGAAGTGCTCTGTTGTCTGTCCATGTTGCTGCTTTCTTAAAGTTGTGTTGTTCCAATAACAAAAAAAGAAAAAGGGAGGGGGAAAAATAAAATCAGCTTGTTAGTGCTTTTTTAAAGTTGAAGTCTATCAGTGATTGCACAAGGGTTTTCTTTTAAATGCAACTATTTAAATATGAGTTCCTTACCATGGAAGTTACAACTAGAGCAGGAGAAAATCCCATTGCTAAATAGAAGAACAGCTCCACAATTTTATACCTATGTACAAAAACAAAAGGTACATTAGCCTGAAATTGTGAAAACTGCACTTTCCTCCTTTAGAAACACAACATATTTTTGCTTCAGCATCAACCAGATTCCTGTTGTTTGTGGAAAGAAGATAGACATAAACTTCGGCAAATCTTTAATGATAGATTTGTTAATATAATGTGAAGCAGCCAGAAAATGGGAAGAGTTTCTTGTTGGTTCAATTTCCATTGTTAGCAGAGAAATAAAACAGCATCTGTAAGCATGTGAGTGTGTATCACTCTCTTGCCACCTCTCACCAAGATTCAGAAGGAAGACTTTCCCTTACACGGAGGAATTCATTCCTAAGTAAGGGACAGAAAACAATACACCCCAAGCACTTGTGGAAACAGTATCGTGTGCAGCCCAGCATAACAAACTTTAGCGAGAGCATAGAGCTAGTGGCTCAAGATCTGCACAAGACTTCATGAAGTATGCTGAAGGTCAAGCAGTGTTGGGCCAGGGCTAAAATAGTTCTGATTTGTGGTGGGTTTACTTTCTAAAAAATGAAATGTGCCTTCAAACTTTGTAAGAATAAAGACATCCCCAATGGAAGATGCTTATTTTCGGTCTGCCATGCTCAAAAGAAACACTGTAGCCCACGGACTGTAAGTCTGGCACCTATGCTCTACAGCAATCTTTTAAAGCAGGGGTCTCCAAACTTGGCAATTTTAAGGCTTGTGGACTTCAATTCCCAGAATTGCTCATCCAGCCATGTCCGCAAATCTTAAAGCTGCCAAATTTGGAAATCCCTGTTTTAAGCCAAATGTGATAGACGACTTTTATTGGGTAACAATTTTCATATCTTCACAAAACATTCAAATGACACATTTGGAGGCCTCACATTGCGCTAAGCTCCTGTAAAGTATCAGTCACTCTTACTAGCTAGCATAACAATAGGCATACTTAAAACTTTCAGAGCCATTTACTTCGACTCTTCAAGCCAGAAACAAAATATGTGAATTTAGAATTAAGAGAGCTTCTCTGAGAATATTCAAAATCTTATGAACTCAGTTAGCAATAAATCCTGATCTACCTTCTGTTCCCCTAGAATTTTAATATTAGGAGTACTGTCCGGGTGTATACAGTGGAATAAAAAATGGACTGCAGCCACATACTCTTATTTTTTTCATATAAATCCAAGCTGTTCTCATCAAGCAGAATATTAAGTGCTGCTTTAATTATTTATAAAAAAGAAATCTTAAAAGCAAGACAAGTGATTTTTTTGCAGGCTGATAATGTTCTCATACTAGCACTGTGACAGAGAAAAAAATTAATACAAATGCATTTTTCTTAAGAGAAATTAGAGTGTGATTAAATAAAAATGGTTTTTTATTTGAAAAAGCAATTCCAATTTTTTATGTACCACATGCAAACATTTATCAAAAGATATATCCCTAAATTTATAGACACACACACACACACACACACACACACACACACAGAGAGAGAGAGAGAGAGAGAGAGAGAGAGAGAGAGAGAGGTATCACTTCAAGAATAATCATGATAATCCTTACTTTTCGTGGTAGAGAAATACATAAAAAGCTCCTCCAGCAGCCATTAGCCAGATAAACCAACGCATATGAGATGCCAGAGGCCCAAGTTCACGAAGGTTTAACCTGAAAAAAATATTTAAATGACTTTCTGAACTAATAAAAGAATGACATATTAAAGACATCTTAAATTCCTTTTCCAAATGTTAAAAAAATAATAATCCAGTCAGGAGTTCTCAAAGGCAAGAAGGAGAAAAACAAATCCTTTTTATTATTAATATGATTTTAGTTTTAAAAAATCAAGAAAAAAGTTATTAAAATATAGCAGTATGAATGTATAATATTCAAGCTTATTTAGAAAATCCATATCACTGACGTTAAACAATGAATTGAAAAAGTTAGTTTTGATAGCAAAGTACAACAGTTCATTTGGTGGCTGTTCAAAGTTAGAACCACATGGAAAAATGGTCAGGACTTTTTTTTCACATTTACGACTGCTGCAGCATCCCCTTGGTCATGTGATCAAAATTTGGATGCTTGGCAACTGGTTCATATTTATGATAATTGCAGTGTCCTGGGGTGACAAGATCAGCTTTTGCAATCTTCTGATGAGCAAAGTCAATGCGGAAGCCAGATTTACTTCACAACCATATTACTAATTTAATCGCAATGATTCCTTTAACAACTGTGGCAAGAAAGGTTGTAAAATGGGGCAAAACTCACTTAACAAATGTCTCACTTAGCAACATAAATTTTCGGCTGAAGTGTGGCCATAAATTGAGGACTACCTGTACATTTTAATTTATTAATCCCTATTACACTGGAAACTAAAATTTAAAAATGTGTACCTTAGCTTCTTATAACAATAAAATTCTATTAAAATTATTTCAGTTCCCTGAGAATAGTGTAAGTGCAGCATCACAAAATATTATTGCCTCACATTCAGAGCTACAGCTGTGGAACATGATTTGGGGTATGGTCCACCAAAAAGCAGAAATATGATTCTGTATTATTCTTGTGGGATCAGGTCAACTTGAAAAGGCAAAGGCAAAAACAAACCAGCAATTCCCCCTTCCCCCCAAACCACCAGACTTAATCTATCAGATGGAAAACAAATTTTACTTTTATTTTTTTCTCAGATTAGGAGCAATTATTTAACTAATCCTTCAGATGGAGGCTACAATGGTAATATGGGATTACATTTGTTTTCTACCGAAGAGCATGCATTTTCCTCCTTACCAAGGTGCATATGATGCTGCAATGAAGATATAGATCATCATTCGGTCACACATATGGAAACAGTGCTCCATTGTCCTAAAATACAAACAGGGAAACAATTCAGAAAAAAAAATGCCATTAAAATAATTATTCTGGAATTCCACTCAAGAAGTACTAAGAAGACAGAGAAGACTAAACTAGACAAATAGAAAGATCATTACAAGACGCTTGTTTTCTGCAGCCTCTCAGGAAAAAAAAGACCTAGCAAAGCATCTAAATCAAACAACTGGTATCCAAATGTGCTTTTCTGTGCTTTCTTCCCAAAATTGTATTTTTATTGTATTTTTGAAATGTAACATTGAGCAATATTAGAATCTTCAGTTCAAATATTTTATTCAAATGTCCTATGGGGGTTTTTTTGTTTGTTTTGTTTTTTAAAAAAATATTTTAGCAAAAAATATTATACAATAGGAAGTATGCCAAGTCATTTTGTTGTCTAAATTCTGGAGAAAAGAATTCTTGAATTTACTTTGCAATACAGCTTAGGAATTTGGTACTTGGAGGAGGAAAAAAGCTTTGTTTTTCATATATATACTTGGGGCAGTATATATCACTGAAGTATACTTACATGATCATGTATTAACATTGTTTAAACGGATTCTATTAAGAGACTTTATCCATCATACTTGTTTGACAATTAAAGCTCAGTGCCAAAATTGTTCTTGTGTGTAATGAAATCTCCAGTCACTTGCAAATTGGCTTATAGTGGCAGCAAGAATGCCTTTAATTTTAGGAGTTTTTCTTCCCCTCTACTCCCTCTCCCACCCCACTTACTAAAATTGCTGGAAGGAAGCAACAAGGCTTCCTCCTTCCTTGCTGTGACCTTTCAGCAATGTTTGGCACCAGGAAGCCATTTATATTTTCTCTATGCTTCCTGACAGCTTGCTGATCTGCTGACGAGGAGGCTGCTGGACAGAGAGTGTAATATCCCATTTGGGGAGCTTCCATTACACATCAAGGCTTTCCAGGAGTTGAGGGATAAGCACGCTCCCCAGAGCACATGCAGCTGATTCTCATTCTAGTATATTTTAGGCTAAACATTCACATTTTATTTCTTCCATGACGTTCCCATCTTTCTATTGCATGTATACACTAGAGGATCATTTGATTAAAATAGATGCCTGTTCATCAAAGCATTTTTAAAAATATAACCTGAAATTTGAAATGGACACCTAACATTAGAACCATTATTACAAAGGCACAACAAAGAATGTTCTTCCTGCATCAACTCAGAAAGTTCAGATTCCCCAGAGGAATTAAGTCAGCAATCAAACAGGGCAGGTATAGACTCCAGTGATAGAACTGCAGAAAGAACAACTGCAACCAGCCTACCTTCCATAGAGGACCTGTATATTGCATAGATCAGAAGGAGAGCTGAACAAAATAACTACTGACTTCTCAAATCCTGGATATAAACTATTTCAACTCCTCCCCTCAGAACACCACTTACAGGGCACTGTATGCCAAAACAACTAAATACAGAGACAGTTTTTTCCCTTGTGCCATCATTCTGCTGAACACCTAATTCCCACAATACTTTCTTATATTTAAGTATATTTACCCATGTGTTATGGCTGTAGTATTATTATCTTTCTCATCTACTCTACTACTCCCTCTTATTGGTATCATTATCATTATTTTGTTGCTTTGAGGGATTCTGCACCAGAGATTCCTAGTGTATCTAATCACACTTGGCCAATAAAATATTCTATTCTGAATGTTTGGGTGTTTCAAAAATAAATTAATTGAAGTGAGTTTTTTGACCAGAGTGATTATTTGTTATTTTACTCCCCTAACTATATTATGCTGGCATATTTATGCTTTAAAGTGCCTTTAGATTTTCTGTCTTTTTTTTAAAGTGTTTGATCGTACCCCCATATGTGTCCAAATGAACAAATCCTAGAATTATTATGTAGAAAAAGCTAGAAGTAGCTAAAGATAGGACAACACTTTAGTATTTTAGAGATCAGTAAACATTCAATAAAAAGAGAGGAAGATCACTTGTATAGGACTCGAGAAAGTTTTCTTCCCAAAATTAGAAGAGGGGATGCAAATGTTGAGGGTTAAGATATGGTTTTCTTACATAAGCAACTGTTGCAAGAGAGTATAATTCTAGGGAAGTTAAGTTAGTTTCTTCATCCTGAAGTTCCATGTTTGCTAATGAGTAACTAAAAATATATCTGGGTATTTGATTGCAGAAATGTAACAAGTGAATATTTTAAAGAGTGAATATTCCTTGCAAAGAGTGGGAATAAGGCCCTATGATCAGTGGTAATGAAGTCAACATTTGTTCCTGGTAGCTTAATTTTCAGGATATTTTGTAGTCTAGATATCAGGGAATACTTAAAATTACAAAGGATAAATTGTACTAAGAAGAACCATTGCAACAAATCTATTTTACGCTGAAACGTAACAACATAAAAGACTTAACTTAAAAAAACATTCTTAGATCAGTGTGTCAGAAGAAAGTGCAAGAAATCTCTACCTTAGATGACTCTTCTTCCAAGAAATGATATGAAACACTGTTGAAATGATGAAAAGTGCACACAGACCAACTCCATATATCCATGCTGTTATCTTTTCCCACTGATCCTCAGAGAGTCGATGAAGGAGGGCACTACCAACAATGGCTGGGAAAATAAGAAACTAGACCAAAAAACAAAACAAAACAATAGCAATGCATTACTTCCTGTTCCTCCTCTGAATTTTATGCCATTTATAAATTCGCCCTGCATATTACTGTGCAAATACTTCAATAAGGTATTTGGTTCATGAATGAAGTACCCCTACTTAAAATAATGAATGGTCTGAAACCTTCTCAAGGTTTCCTGGTCACATAGGAGGTTGGCCCAGAAGGCATTTTATGTCAGATAAATTTTATCTCAGATAAAACACTTTTTTTCCTCTGCCCTTTGATTCAAATGAAGTGAAAATAAGTGGTTTTAAAACAAAATTAAATTATCCTAGTATAACAAACATATTTTTAATTTCCATTTTTATCATGGAAAGAAGGAACAATGTTTCTAATTTCCTCAAGCATTTAATCTCAAGATCTCTCAATTATCTTTAATAGTAAATTCTGTTGGTACAGAATTGCTGTATCACAAAGACACACCACATGCCAAGGCACAAAGCAGCACCCAACTGTCAGGCAACATTGTGTTTGAGATCACAATAAGCTGAAATTAAATTCACTGTGCAAGTGAGAAAAAAATAACAAGATATTTAACATGTATGCTTTAGATACAGTGATTCGTAATTACTGTCTTTAAAATTGCTGGATGCTGGTTTACTACAACCTGTAAAATACCCATTATAAACCATAGTTTTGAACCAAGCTACTATACCTGGCTCAAAAACACAGGGCTAAACCAACCAAATTTTGCGTTGAAATATTTATGTGTTGTAACTACCTCATTGCCTTTAAAATATAAAGTAAGAGGTCTAAAATATTTTCATATTCAAGCCTGCTAAAAATGCACTTGTTTCTAAATAACATGACAAGCTTAGACATTTCATTCACATGTGCATTATATATAAAAATTATATGACATTTTTTGTGTAGTCCAAGATGCATGACATAACTAAATACGTTCTATACAGTATTGTGGTACTAGCCATTCGTACAGTATATAGTCATCAATTTATTTTCAGATGCCTGCTTAGTTCCAGTTAACAAGCACAATTGCTATATGAAACCACTGTCCTTGTAGCCAAAAATTAAAAATCTTACCAGACAATTCTCTTAACATTTAAAATCCCCATATACCTATCATGTTATTTGAGAGATTTCTCAACTACATCATTGCAACTACATTAAATATCACACTAACTATATAATTTATGACTTCTGGCCAATGTAATACAAAAGGAAAACTTGAAATAAAAGGAAGATATATAGAAATAACAGAAGAATGATTTAGCTGACAGAGACCAAATAAGAAGCAGGCTACTTGTTGATCAGCATTTTAATAATTGTGACACATTTTGCAAAAGGGGAAGGGAGAAAAATATTATTTCAAGTTAGGTTCCTCAAAATCTTAGGATTCAGTTTACTGTCATGATAATTTGGGGAGAAAAGGTGAGGGACTCAAAACCTGATATAATACTGAATTAATTTAGTATATTTAATAAATATATTTAATGAATTTCATGTCCTATAAAAAGAAAACAGTGGAAAAGAATCTACAAGGTTTTGGTTGAGCAAACGCCATAAAGTGCCAAAACTGTACACAAACCAAAGTAACACAAGTAGCCTGTACTGTACCAGAAAAATGAATTAAAGCAATGCATAACAATACAAAATCTTATCTGCAGATGGTGTGTTTTTCACTGTATCTTGGTTAAAAATTTGAGGGCCTACTTAATCCATGGACGGGATTATGCACTAATATATATGGCAGACAGTAATCAGAATTATCTGGACTATCATAAGAACTGATTTCCAGGAAATCTACTTACTGCATGAGTGTAACAGTTAGCAGCATGCTCATAGCAAGTAGGTTTATAACGACTGTTTGCTGGAGCTGGATGATTCATGAACCTGTTGAGATAATCAAGATATTATTAGGCTAATGCAGATTAATATTTTAAGAATGTAAAAGAATGCATTTATTTATTGAGTTAAACTAATTCATATTTTAATGTTTTTGATACTGAACATTAAATAAATACATTTACAATGAAAAATTAGAATTTCATTAAAAGTTCTTTTTCCCAACTTGGCACAATAAAACATTTAGAATTTAAAAGTAACATTTAGCAACTATAAATGCATCAATGCATAGTACAACCATTTTACTGCAACATTATTTGGGGGGAAAGAAACTCATGGCAATAGGCATCTACACCCTGAAACAAAGATATTAAAAGGTTGGGTAATAGAGGCATGATTTGGAAATTTTATTCCACCTTATTTCTCTTCCATAGTAGAAAAGGCAGCAATATTTTTTGAAATTATGATAAATAAACCTAAGCAATTTTTTTGATAATTCCATTCCTAGATTTCCTAACCCTAACCCTAAATACCATATTTTTCGGAGTATAAGATGCACCAGAGTATAAGATGCACCAAGGTTTTGAAGAGGCAAATTTTTTTAAAAAAGTTTTTGCATTCTGCAAACCTCCCCAAAACAACCCATTTTTTTGCGAATACGGGCCCATTAAAAAAAAGGCCTGTTTTTTTGCTCACTTCTGCCTTTCCCTGCCCCCAAGAGCTCTCTGGAAGCCTTGTAAAAGCTATGCACGGCCATTTTGGTGAAGGGGGTGGGTTTTCAGGAGGCAAAAAATGCTGTATTCAATGTATAAAATGCACCCAGATTTTCAACCTCTTTTTTGAGGGAAAGGGGTGCGTCTTATATTCCGAAAAATACGGTACATGCTTTTTAAAAAAAAATCAACAAATCTCCATAATTTAAAAACTCATCTCTAAATCTTATAATTAAGAAATCTACATCAGGGTTTTATATATTCATTTATCAATTGGAATAAACTGCTAACCAGTGCTTTCTTATAATTAACTGATTAATATATGAATAAAAATAGAGCATTTTGATGAAGTTCTTGTTATCACTAACCCTTAATGTGCACACTGACTTTCATTCCAATAATAACTAAAGCTCCGAAACATATATCACTGTAACACTATAAAATGTTTCCTGACTCCTTTTCAAAATGGCATGGGATTATGCTTTGCTTTGTATTTAGAGAAACAAATCACAACTTTCATTTCTATCTCAATCTTCATAAAGTTTCAATAATACAGTAGTCAAATCTGTTTGGAACTTGAAATAAAAAAATACAGATTCAGAATATATAGATCAGTCTTTCAAATTTCAGCTGAATTATTATCTGAGTATCAAGTGGACTAGTTCACTTGCAAAACACTCATTTTATTTCCAGCGGTTCTCCTTACCTATATAAAGTTGCTATCTTCCCCAAACATATCACTGAAATGTGGCCATTTAGTACCAAATCAGCAATACACTTTCAGGGTGCTAGTTGATAGTGATACTTTGGGTCTGTCTGTGTTCTGCAGACTCTCCGATAAAGAGATATTTGTAAATCCATTCAACTCTTAAATTACTAAACATTTAATTTTAATAAGTTAGACAATTCACAAATCTGTTTTAAGTACTGCATAATAGTTCTGCCTTCAATTTGGAAATAGTTTCTCTTTTCAAAATGTAAAAAAAATAGTAGATACATATTTTCTTTTTATTCCATACATACATACATTCTATACCCATAAACTTTTAATCTAGGAGCACAGCCACCCTTTAAAATTTATACTGATTTGATATTTAGTCTTTATTGATTAGCCCCTGGGCCATATCAAAGTGCAAATTCCAGAAACAAATTACTAAAATTTGATAAAAGCAATATAAAATGGAATTTGATAAATACAATTTAAAATGGAATTGAAATAGACTACAATAATTTAAGATATAAATTTACGATAAAATTATATTTCGGTGTCATCCCTGCAATCTACCCCAATCACTCCCACATATGCAGATCTCAACCGAACCATTTTGTTTAAGTACTGTGCTATCTTCACTGTTATATTCCGGTTCTGGCCACCCATAAGGTAAGTTGTTTTGATATGGGGATCCCAATGGATCATTCATTTGGTATATAGACCAAGGTACCTGTGCCCTTACCTCCTTATAGAAGCGACAATCAAATAGGATGTGAGCCAAGTCTTCTACCTCTGCCACTCCGCAAATGCAGAGACGCTCATTGTAGGGTATAAAATGGAATCTCCCATATCGGACCCTCATGTCAAACTGTATGAATCTCGCTCGCGTAAATATCTCCCTAAGATGTTTTGGCAGTTGTAACTTCAAATAGCTGACTACTTGAAAAATAGTTTGTATTTACTCAGCCATTTCAAGTTACCCAACTTACTAAGGGTAGCTATATCATTTTGTGCTTCTATATCCTTATTCTTTGGGCATCTCTCTCTCTCTTTTTTTTTTTTGAGTTGTTCTCCTGTTACGCAAGAGACAGGAAGGCCACAACTTCTTACAAAATTTGTTAGTTTGGTGATCCAGGAGATTTGTGATTGTAATTTTATTTGCTCTAATAGACATAACTTGGGGACTCTATCAATCTTCATTTCATTGACTTTGCACCATTAGTTATATATTCCAATTTTGGATAGTGGATGAATTGTATGAATTCCCAATTCAGCTCTTGACGCTGCAGATGTTCTTGGATCTATACCCAAAATACATCTCAAGTGCTGGAACTGTGTTTGTTCTAGGACTGTGGTTGAGTATAGACCCCAAACCTCTGCTTCATACAAGAAATTTAAAATTTATATTGATTGCTTTTAAAGTAATAACAGAAAAAGGAACAAAAATACAAAGATAATCATGACAGAAATATATATATA